TTTTTTTACCATTATATTGTAATGTAAATGCACGTTGAAGTAATGTTTCAGGATCTGTCTCATGCTTAGCAGGTACCTCTTTTTGAAAATACTAAAACAAATAATTGATTGAGTACTCATTTAAATAGAATTATACAGAATGAAATGTGTACTTATTTTCAGACATCAAGGTTACTATACGGAGTAAATTTCGAATATGAACGTATATTTTCAAATGATATCCTTACCTCCTTAAGCAATACTATACTATTATTGTTATTATTATTATACAACTAAATTTCTTTTCTATTAACAAATATTACGATTTGTTTTCTGACGTTGTTATAAATTTTTTAGATTTTTGAAAACTTACTGATGTAACAGCGGATACAGAACCTTGAACAGTTTTGAACGTTTGTGCACACTGTTCGGCGAGACGATCTTGAACAGCGTGTAACCGACGATCCATGCGTATAAATCAATGTATGTTGATGAGACGCAAAGATCGATATGGATGCCTATTTCTTCTCTCTTCTTTTTTTTTATTTGTGAGTTGCAAATGTCTCCACCTCGTTTGGACAGAACAAAATGTGTGCACACACACACACACACCACACACACAATGGTTGCAGCAGCGGTGGTGTCATTTCATTCTCTTTCTCTCCTCTTTTTTTTTCCTCTACTCGCATTTTTTTTTATTCTATACCTCAATGAATCGAAACATATACGTACTTACACAACTGACTTGATTCAGCACACATATAATACATTATATTATATTATATATATATATAAACATACATATGCATGTATATAATATACCACACAGAACGGTTCGTTAGTACTTATTCTATTTTGTTCTTTTCAATGTGTACTTCTCGTTTTTGAAAAGAAAATACCAGTATGTGAAAGGTGTAAAATAAAAAAAAGGAAAGAATAGTACGTGCAATGATATGACAAACAGCTGACGCGTGAGCTTGTTACTGTCGACTCATCTATTACATCTTTGTGAAAGAGGGAGAGGAAAAGATCGACTATACATATACAAATGACGATAGTTGCTCGATTGATTATGACATGCACGTATGCATATATAAGTTTTTCTTTTTTCTTTCAAAACGATGTTCAAAAGGTTACCTTAAGCATATCTTCCATCGATAAAAGCATTAATTCATCTTGATGAATTTCAAGTAGACCGATACCAATACGAAAGATCACTTCCATACCCTATTGCATACATATATATTTATAATGAGAAAAAAAAAGAAATATGAAAATTTATATTGAATAATCTACCTCACTTAAAAATAGATCCATTGTACGACAAACAATATTTAATGGTAGTTGTGTTGTAAACAATGTTAGAAACCAACTCGATGCAAACGTTGACGTATGAAAATTTTCTGCTTGAAAATGTCGATAAAGATCAGGTAAATTTTCCTATTATAATGATCACTCATCAATCAAGTCAATGAAAAAATATACAAACATAAATAACATACTTGAATCATACATTCAAGTTGATATATACAAAGACCCAAATAAAACATGTCAGGTTTATACATATCACGCATTGTATAATCTTGCATAATAGATACTAATACTGCAAATGCTTCTTCTTCTGGCATCTATTTTTATAAGAAAAAAAAATATTCAAAAATATTTTTTTTTATTTTACTGACATGCATAAGTAAAAGTCCAACAATAAAACCAATACCTTGACAATAACCAACTTCACGATCATATAATGAATAAGCCTAAAATAGAATTTCTTTTAATTATCATCCTATTTTATAATCATCGAACCTTCATCACATTAAATAAACTTTCTTGACCAAGACCATGTTTTTGTTTAAAAAAATCATGTTGTGGATATGTTCGTGATATATCTCTTCGAATAACTTTTTCACATGGTGATGTCATTTTCATAAATTCAGCATATTTATATTTTGCATTTGATGTTTCAACTTTAGTTAAACATTGCCAAAGTAATGGACGAAAATGAACTGGTACACCAAATCGAATAATATCCTACATAAATCTTTTTATTTTAATCTAATTTTTAAATAAATAAAAATTTTACTTTAATCCATATCGGATTTTTTTTCATAGTTATCGTCCAATTATTAATTATTCTATTCCATACAACCAATTCATTCTCCAAATTACCTTAAATAAATATTTATATAAAATTATTTGTGATTTTAAGTTGAATTTTCTACCATCTTTATCAATAGTTAAATTATTGATTTCAGTAGAAATTGAATCTAGTTGTTGTCCTTGGTTATGATGTAATTCAGGTGAACGTGTATTTGTTATCGGATTAAGTATTGCACTTGTAGGTGATTTCAGATCATATTCGATACGTCTTTAAAAAGAAAAGAAGAAAAAAGATATAGCTCAATAGAAATTTAAGTAAAATCAAATAAAAATATTATAATATTTTGTTACCTATTCTCTTCTTCTAGTCTTTTCAATAATTCAATTTCATCATTGGTCATATCAGCCATATATATATCCTTTGATTGTGTCATTATTTGGTATTTGTCTATAGAGGAATAATAATAATAATACCGAATATACAGTAATCAATGATTATATATAATAGAAAAACGTGGAGGCTGAAGATGAGTAAATGATATGAAGAGTTGCATATATATCATCAAATGTGTGAGTAAACGTTGTCAGGTTTTTCCTTTTTTCTTTTTTTTCTCGTTCCTTTTTCTTCTCGTCTAACTAAACAAAATTAATTGAATTGTGTCAATAACTTCCATTTGTATCTTTTACACGACGTAGACTTGTCCTTTAAATCATTTTATGTTTCTTTAGACATCCACCTACTTAATTAACACATTTGTTTCTCATCTATGCTTATTATGTACTTTGATTAGAAATAAAATACTATACAATCTTATATATATATATTATAAATAAATATTTATATTATTGCGTATAAATATATATGTAAGAAACGAATAGGAAAGTTCAATAAATAACAAAATATGTGTTTCTAATGAGTAAAATAATTTGTCAATCGTATCGACCATTTGAATGATGTAAAAGAAAAAAATCCCAATGTCAAATAGGTTTTCAATACATTTCACCTGATTCAAATATCCTTACCATGATAGATGGCGACGAAGAGTAGAAAGAGAAGAAGAAAAAAGAACGTAGTCTT